GACTCAATTTGCACTATTTCTAGCAGTCTGCAAAGGCCCATAATCATCTTTATACATATTTTAGAAATGGTTGTGTTTCTCTTTGTACATTTTAATATATGTGCGCACTGGAAAGCACAAATTTATCTTCCATATTGTATGCCCAGAAATGCAGATTTCTACCCTTCAATCACATCTGAAAGCATTGTCTAATTTAAAAAGACAATTTCCTAAAGACTCTGCAATTTCATCATAGATCCCTTTATTTCTGGAAAGTTGCTATTTTTTCATTTATTATTAATGGATCATCAGAATGTGAGGTTAAAGCAAGAAGTGGTGGCAGAGTGCTAGGAATGTCTGGACTTCCTTGGCATCTCTCCCAAGTTTCTGAGGGTTGTCAACAAAAATATTCCTTAAAACTTTTTAGTAACATTTTCTTCCCTAAACATTATTGTTGCTTGCTGGTTATGTGTAACCTGAGACCAAAGAAAGCATTAACAAAGCAAATGCTTTTGAGTGATGACTATCGATCTACTGTTTGGGGACAGAGAGTTGCTTCAATAATCTCTGTTGAGTTTTGTATCTTTGTTCAGCGGGGTGCTTTACTAAGAATGGCTTTTTCATTCTCTGTACTGAGATGTTGGACCAAAGCGCCAATTACATCTGTTCTGAATCTGGTGTTAGAACTGCACCAGCTGTGATATCCCCAGCTGGCTGGCATTTAATAGGTTTATTGAAGTTCAAGACTGAGTTTACAGTAGGATATTTTCCCCCTACTTATTGCATAAGCTGGGGTGAGACTATCCAGGAGTGTGTGTAGTGTGGATACAGAGCCATACAATTTCCATGAACAATAGGACTAAAAACTTCTTTTAAGAATTATTTGCTTATTTTACTGCTCTGCCAAAGGCAAAATTTGCATGCACATTTGCTATTTAGTGTGTTTGAAAGATCCAGTTTTGTTTCTTTCCCTCATGTATATAAAAATGTTCAGCAAGTGTATCATTAAAAAAAGCTTGTGCTTTTTCAAAGAAAGCTGTTGATTTAGTTGTAGACTGTTATCAATAGGTAAAGTCATTCTTTTAAAATAAAACATCCAATGCCTTGCAAATGTTATCTCCCACCCCTATCACCCTGGTCTGTGTCTTTTCCACATTTGTTTGTTGCACCCTGGAATTGAAATGGATCTAATGGACATTGTAACCACTTGATGTACACAAGCTACTCAATACTGTGAAGGTACAAAAATTTGTACTATGATCCAAATTTAAGTAAACATAATCTTGCATTTGTCATTTACATTTGTCAAGGTATTCAACCTTTGCTTTGACGTGCCTAAATAAATTCTGGTCCAACCCACTGCCTCCAGAAATCACATAAATAGTTGAACTAAGACAACCTGTGTGCAGTTCTAGTGCCATGTGATCTCAGGTTAAAGATATCTATTTCTGGGAGGCTTCACAGTTTGTTGGAGAGCATAGCTCAACAAACAGCATCATAAAGACCTAGCAAATTTCAAAATAAGGCCAGAACAGTATTGAGCAGATATACCAATCATGATTGGGTTACTTTAAAAAAAAAACAAAAAAAACACAATCAATAATATTTCCTGAATCATTGTTAAATCGCTTACTACAAAATGGAAAGAATATTGCTCAACAACAATGCTGCTTAACAAAACTCTTTACCAAAACTCAGTGACCAGGTAAGGAGGGCATTACTCTATAATTGGGTCAAGAATGGAGAAGTAAAGTACAATAAGAGAAAGAAATTCAAGTGCTGTGATCAAATTAATGTAGGAATAGTTCCTGGGACAGGTTTGGCAGGTGAGGGCATAAGGCACTAGTTGATTAGGAAAGTCCCACAACAAATTCTGTAAGTTGTACAAGGTAAAAAGATAGAAATAACTTTTAAAATGCTGGTACTAGTGTTGCTGTTACCTGTTCAATCCAATGTTTAGATTGAATCCTATATTTATCCTTTTAAAATTTTGGAACTGAAGTATGTTGATTACAAATATGAAGAGTGTAGAAGAAGCAGGGCAACCCAGAGTTCCTTTCAAGAATGATAAAAGAGGAATAAAGCAGAGTCTTTATGTTGTGCACAAAATAGATTTACGCTCTGCAAAATGGGACCCTGAGGGCTTGCCTTGCAAATTAATAGTGGTATGATTCATTCTCTGTTTCTAAATATAAATGTGAAGAGAACATAGGGATATTAGCTGCCTGTTCATGCATATAAAGTTAATGATTCTTAGAATGCTCTGAGTGCAAACACTTTCTGTCCAGTTTGCAGGGTGGGATGGGGGAGACAGAAGTAACTAACACTGATTTTTATGACTTAATAATTGTGACTTTTTCTGTCCCAAGGGACAAAATGCATTTTCACTGAGCATTTCTTAATATGCTCTGGATGCTACTTGTGCCCATGCACAAAACCTCATGTTAATAAAAGCCTTGTAAGCCTGGATGTATACAGTAAAAGAGTGCAAGAATGGATGTCAGATTGGTGAATATAAACATTTTGGGGGGAAATGGACTTTGGCAACAATTTTATTGATTGGATAAAAGCAATATATGAGACTCAAAGGCCACAAATATTGATAAACTGAGAGATAACTAACAACTGTGAGATCCAGAGAAGGGCAAGACAAGGCATTGACCCCTCTCATATACACACACACACACACACACACACACTTTGGAAATGAATAAAGCTATCAGAGATGATGAAGCTATCCAGAGAATAAATATGAAACATGTTGTTATAAACAGAGAGCTTTTGCTGATGACCTGATGATATTCCTTATGAATCCTTTTGATAGTACTGAGAAGTTAATGAAAACATTAAAGGATTGTGGTGTACTATCTGTTTTAAAATAAATAAAGATGGCAAGGCAAGAAATCATATTTAAAATATTTACAAGATGAAAAAAGAAGATTAGGACTGCCACACTTGAAAGTGTATTTTTCTGCCTGTTGTTTAGCTTGATTAAAGGACTGGACAGCACTATAAAATAATAAATTATTACAGTTGGAAAGTTTTAATCTGAGATTTGGTTGGCATGGATTTCTTTGGTATGATGAAAGCAATGCAAATGTTGATTTGTTAAGACTGTGGAATAAATATAAGGCAAGAATTTGTTCAAATTTGTTGTGGACTTTGCTACCTGAGTCCTTTTATTCAAAAGAAAAGAAACTGAATGATAAATGGATTCCAAGATATCCTTTAGTACTAGAGAAAAATGAATATAGAATGAAATCTATAGATGAACTTTATGGGCAAGGAATAAAGATCCAATGGTTTTTGTACAGACAGCTGTTTGAGTGATTCAAAGTGGATAGGAAACTGTATGGTTTTGAGTTTGCCAGATCAGGTTTTGAAACACAAAGGCAAAAACAGACTGACCAAAAGGAGCAGCTTTGAGCCACTTTGAGGACGTGACATGCAAATGACACCCCCACCCCCCTGAAGCAGCCAGAAGTTGCTTCAAGGCCACCTAAAGCAGCCTGAAGTTACCAGCATAAGGAGCAGGGAAAAATCTGCATGGGGAAATATGCACAAAATATTGGCCATAACATACAAATTAACCAATGGGAAAATATGTGGGGAAAACATTTGAAAATTACATTGAATTATGATTTCAAAGAAATACTTATATGATGATATATAGTTGGTACTTAACTCCAGAAAAAGATTCTATGCATATTTTTAATTTATGTTGGCAATGCCAAAAGAAAGGATTTTCTATCACATGTGGTGGACTTGTGAAACAGAAAAAAAAATAACTTCAAATACAAAATGTTTGCAATAATAATATACATAATATACAAATATATAATAACATAATAACATTCAATCGAGACCTGATTTTTTTTTAACTTGGAGTTTTGAAAGAATTTTTTAAAAACAAACAAACAATGGCAATGTTATAAAATAGATGATAACTTCAGCTGGATTGTATACACAACATTGGAAGGACACAGTTATTCCCTCTCAAGAATGGCTTATAAAATTCAATGTATAGAGATGGATAAATTAACTAATCTTGTAAAAGAGAGAACTACACTGTCCCCTCCCCATTCGTGGACTTGGAGACTGCGGTCTCAGTCCTTTGCAGACAACAAGCGGGGAGGGACAAAATGGTGTGTGTGTGTGCACGCCACCATTGAAATCAATAGGGCTTGAATATTTGCAATTTTGCTGATTCATGGGGTGGGTGGGTCCAGAATGGATCCCCTGCAAATCAGGAAGGACAACTGTATAGAGACATTTAAAGATGAATGTGGAATGATAAACACTTTTGGATTTGAAGAAAAGTTTAGAAAGTGTTTTTAAGTAGTGTGTCATTTCTCAATAACAACATAATTAGAAATGTATATATTTTCTTTATGTAGAAGATATTGGGAATGGAAAATTAACAGTAAGTTTTGATACCAAAAGCTGGCAAGTTGGAAGTCACTT